TCCAGGCTGTGCAGCGGCTGGGCGGGGTGGTCCAGGGGGCCCGAAGATGGAGGGTTGCCATCCAGGCTGGGAACGGGAATGGAGCTCAGGGGTGGGGACAGGGGCTCAGGGCCGATGGACGAGAGGGCTCAGGCCTGGGGATCAGGGTGGCCCTAGGCCAGGTGACAGGGGGTCCAGGGCTGGGGGAGCCAGGGGCTCAGGGGCTAGGGAGCAGGGGGCTCAGGGCATGGGGGGGCTCAGGCCGACGGACAGGGGCTCAGGCGAGGACCGGGGGCTCAGGGCAGAGGACAGGCTCCAGGTCCAGGACAGGGCCTTAGGACGATGAGCCAGGGGCCCTCAGGGCCGAAGGACGGGGCTCAGTGGCGAGACAGGGCTCCAGGGCCCGAGGACAGGGGGGGCTCAGGAGGAGGACAGGGGTCAGGGCCGTGGGGGCGAAGCCAGGGGGCTCAGGGCCGAGGACGGGGGGCTCAGGGCTGAGGACGGGGGGCTCAGGGCCCAGGGACGTGGGGGCTGGGGCGGGGTTTGGGGCCAAAGCCCGGGGGAGCAGGCCTCAGCCGGGACAGGGGCTCCAGGGCGGAGCCAGGGGGGGCTCCATGCCCCGGAACAGGCGGGCTCAAGGCGGGAACAGCTAGGGCGAGGACGGGCGGGGGCCTCAGGCCGAGACGACTCAGGACTGGGGAATAGGGGGTCAGGGCCCAGGTGACAGGGGGGCAAACAAAACCTAAAGGGGCCGGGGGAACGGGCTCAAGCCGGCTAGGGACAGGGGTCTCGGGCTGGGACAGGGGGCTCAGGCGAGGACGGGGGGCTAGGCCGGATGGAGGGGGCTCAGGCGGGATGGGAGGGGGCTAGGGCTGGGAAGCAGGGGGCTCAGGCCATGAAAACAGGGGGCTCCAGCCTGGGGACAGGGGCTCAGGCCGAAGGACCCATCCAGGCGGTGGGAGGGCTCAGGGCGAAGGAGCAGGGGGCTCAGGGCTGGGGGACAGGGGGCTCAGGGCCAGGAAGGCAAAAAAAAAAAAAAAAATCAGGCTGACAGGCTGCAGGGCCGAGGACAGGGTTCAAGGCCGAGGAAGAGGGGCCTCAGGCCAGACAGGGGGCTCAGGGCCGAGGACAGGGGGCTCAGGGCCGAGGACAGGGGGCTCAGGGCCGAGGACGGGGCTCAGGCGAGGACGGGGGCCCTCCAGGGCCGGGGCCGGGGCTTCAGGCAGACCCGGTGCGGGGCTCAGGCTGGGGGCGGGGGTGGGGGCTCAGGGCCGGACCAGGGGCTCAGGCCGGCGGGACAGGGGGCCTCAGGGCCGGGACAATGGGTAGGCGGGGACAGGGGGGGCTCAGGGCCGGGGACCAGGGGGGCCTCCAGGGCCGGAACAGGGGCTCCAGGCCGGGGAACTAGGGGGCTCAGGGCCGGGGATGGGAAGGGGGGCTCAAGGCCCGCGGGGAACAGGGGGGCTCAGGGCCCGGGACAGGGGGCCCTCAGGGCTCACAGGGGGACAGGGGCTCAGGCGGGACAGGGGGTCAAGCGGGGAATCAGGGGGCCTCAGGCGGGGATTGGGAGGGGGGTCAAGGGCCGGGGACAAGGGGTCTCAACATCGGTGCTCATAAAAGCCTCAGTGTTGTTGTAAAAGCCAACATTGTTGTCACGCCTGTTCACCGGTGGGGAAACTGAGGCTCGGCACAGTGAGCCTCAGGGTCCCCCCACGGGGGTCCCAGGCCCATCTTTTCCCTGTGCCCCCTGCCACGCCTGGCCCCGAGCCCCAGGCGGCGTGATCCCGGCGTGGCTGGGCCGGACGTTCGCCTGATGCAACCGTCGCGCCACCGCGGGGCCTTGCACAACGCGGGCGCCCAGCTGGCCGGTTAACGATTGACCGGGGCCAGTGGGCGGGCGGGACCATAAAAGGCAGCGGCGGCGGCACCGCGCTACGCACCATGCCACTGCTTGCTCTGTGCCTGCTGTGGGCCCTGGCGCCGGTGGCCCGGCCTGCCCCCGCGGCCCCGGAGGGCAGCCTGGAGCCCGCAGAGCACGAGGAGCTGACCCTCCTCTTCCACGGGACCCTGCAGCTGAGCCAGGCCCTCAATGGCGTGTACAGGGCCACGGAGGCACGGCTGACGGAGGCCGGGCGCAACCTGGGCCTCTATGGCTACACACTGGGACTCCTCGGGCAGGACATCAGCCGGGGCCGGGATGCAGCCCAGGAACTGCGAGCAAGCCTGTTGCAGACACAGGTGGGCGCTGCAGCTGGGGCGTTGTAGGGTGGGTAGGAGTCTGAAGGGGAGTTAACGTCTAGGGTCACCACCCGTCCTGGTGCGCCCAGGACTGAGCGGGGAGGGTTCTTTCAGTGATAGAACCAGGCGAGTTCTGGGCGCCCAAAGACGACTTGGTCCTCCTGCTGACGACCCCCCCGTCTACTGAGCAGGCGGAAGAGGAAATCCTACAGCTGCACGCAGAGGCCACGGCCCAGGTGTTGGGGGAGGTGGCCCAGGAACAGCAGCTGCTGTGGGACAATGTGCGGCAGCTAGAAGTGCAGCTGAGGGGTGCCGGGCTGGGCCGTGCCCGTCAAGAATTTGAGGCCTTAAAGGTAAAGAGACTCCCAGCCCTGGGGGGGTTGACACCCTGACTCCCGGCCAGAACTTGCTTCTGCACCTTGGACTCCCAGAGACCTCCCAGGCCAGCCTGCCATCTGGGGGACCCTGGGCAAAACCCATGTTCCTGTGTGAGCCTCAGTTTCCCCATTTGCAAATAAGGCTGACAACTGATATCTCAGAGCAGAGCCAAGTACTCAATGCAGAAAAAATACTCAGCATGGGGCAGAGTACCCAGTAGGTGCTCCATAAATGCTCACTACTAGAGTAACTGGTAACATTTCTCAAGTGCCCCGTAAGTACCCAGCACTGCTCTAGGCCCTTTAAGAATTCATGTGAAGGCCGGGCGCGGTGGCTCACGCCTGTAATCTAACACTCTGGGAGGCCGAGGCAGGCAGATTGCTCGAGGTCAGGAGTTCAAAACCAGCCTGAGTGAGACCCCGTCTCTACTATAAATAGAAATAAATTAATTGGCCAACTAAAAATACATAGAAAAAATTAGCGGAACAGGGTGGTGCATGCCTGTAGTCCCAGCTACTCGGGAGGCTGAGGCAGGGAGGATCGCTTGAGCCAGGAGTTTGGGTTGCTGTGAGCTAGGCTGATACCATGGTACCCACTCTAGCCTGGGCAACAAAGTGAGACTCTGTCTCAAAAAAAAAAAAAAAAAGAATTCATGTGAAGATCGTAGAAACCCATTAAGTGAGTCCTGTTTTATACCCATTTTACAGATGAGAAAGCTGAGGTCGGAGGGTGTTAGTGATTTGCCGGGTCACGCAGATGCAACAGGGGTCCCTGGGCAGGGTCAGGGGATGGTGGGGTGAGATGGCCCCGGCTGAGGTCTCCATTTTGACCCCCCAGGCTCACGCTGACAAGCAGAGCCACGTGGTGTGGGCCCTAACGGGCCACGTGCAGCGGCAGAGGCGGGAGATGGCAGCGCAGCAGCACCGGCTGCGGAAGATCCAGGAGAGGTGAGCCGGGCGGGGGCTTGGGGGGCGCAGGGCAGCAGGACGGGACCCCCTGGCCTCGACTAACCCACACCCTGTCCCCAGACTCCACACGGCGGCGCTGCCGGCTTGACCCTGCCTGCACGGAACTCAGGACCAGTCACGCAAGGGACACTTCCACGCCCCAAGAGGCCCCGCGCCGAGAGGAGCTGCCTGTCCCCGGGGACGGCGGGGGTGGCCCCGCTTCCAGGCTTCCAGGCACGGAGCAGAGGCAGAAGCAGGCGGGCGGAGGCGGCCGGCGGGCCCGCTGGGGCGGCGTGGAGCAAGGACGGAGGCCACGAGCCCCTTCACGCCCTCCGATAATTAAACCAGAGCAGTGAGTCGCACGCCGGTGTCTGTGTGTCTGCGAGCAGGGGGACCCCGCCTGGCGCCCGGCCGGCCGGCCGTACCTGTAGCTGGTGTGGGGCGCGTAGACCTCGCGGGCAGGGAACTCCAGGATCTCCTTGGTGGGCCGCGCCCTGGGGTCTGGGTAGGGCTTCACGTGCAGCAGCTCGGGGGACAGGCAGAAGTGCGGGTTCTCGGGGGCCGGGGATATGTCGATCTTTAGCTGGGCTGGGCAGGGAGGGGCCAGTTGGCGCCTGCCTGGGAGCCTCCTGGCCGGGACGTGTCCCCCAACCCCACCCCCCGGCCACAGGGCTGGCCACTGACTCCCCAGGTGCCCGCCGGGGGCTCTGTCCTCCAGGTGCCAAGGCCAGAAGTCGCCCCCCACTCCCATCTCTCGCCCTCCCGTGTGATCGGCTCCACTCTCAGGAGCCCGTCCCCCTCCCCCGCCACGCTCCCCATTTGACCCTGTTTATTCTGTGTCTTGTCTGCGGTCCCCGTTACAAGGTCCAGCAGATCCCTGAGGTCAGGGATCTGCCTGTCGCCGGCATCGCTGGGTGCCTGGCGCAGTGGGTGCTGGGTGCAGGGTCGCTGAGCGGCTTCAGAGAGTGGGGTCTCGTTTAAAGCGCATGCCACGCACCTGTCACGGGCCGCAGGCGCCGCAGCAGGGACGACGGGCGCCTCATGTCAGCCAGGAATTTGAAGAGGTCCTCGTCACTGAGCCGTTCGGCTTCCTGCATGACACCCACTCCGTGAGCCGGGGCCGAGGGGCTGGGGGTCCCCACAGCTGATGCGGCCATAGGGAAGCGGGGGAGGCCCTGGCTACCCCTAACCCTAAGCCCCTACCCAGGGACACGCACCTGCTTGAAGAAGTTTGTGACAGTTAGCGTGGCCGGGCGGAAGCCAGAGAAGCTGCAGGCGTCATCCCCGCTGCTCGCCCGGTCCTGGGGACCCCGACGGCGGCGGTCTGTCCAGGTGGGCCGGCGCTCTAGGGCAGACAATGACAGATACGCAGGGGGACAGAGGTGACAGAGACAGGGAGACTCAGGTGCGGTACCGAGTAAGGCCAGCAGAGGGAGCGCCTCCCCGCCCCGTTCCTGGTCCCACCCTTAGCCCCGCCCCCGACCCGGAAGCCCCGCCCCGGCCCTTAGCCCCGCCCCGGCCCTTAGCCCCGCCTCCTCACCACCCTCGGAGTCCGAGTCGCGGTCCGGCTGCCCCGCGCTGCTCACGATGTTGGCCAAGTGCACGGCCGTCCAGGCGAAGGGCATGCGGTAGCGGCCCAGGCGGGTGCAGAACTGCTCGGCCGCCAGGCGCAGCTTCTCCAGCTTCTCTTTGTTCTGCGGGGAGACCCCCGCCCCACCACCAGCTCAGCGCCCCAGGCCCGCTGCGGCCAGCGTCCGCCCGGCCTTGGGGCCGCCCCCCCTAACGCTTACTTTGGCTGTGTCCGCCTCCTTCATCACCATGTAGGGCTCGCAGCACTCGCTGATGTCCCCTTGCTGCAGCACCTTCTCCAGCTACGGGGCAGGAGGGCCCGTGAGGTGCTGCCCAGCCCCCCCCACCTCCCACCCAGCCTCCTGCACCCCCAGACGCTCCCATCCTGTGAAGGCTTTTGCTCCAACACCTCCTATGGCTCCCACTGTCCTAGGGTCGAGTGCTACCCCACCCCCAAACCCCAAGCCCACATTTAGCTGGTGGTATTTTCCCTACATTTATGTTTTTCTTTGTTAGTGTACACAGAGGCCGCTCCTCGCAGGGCTCTGGGCCACAAGGCCTGGACTTCAATCCTGGCCACTCAGGGACTGTGGGACCCTGGGCAGGTCCCTTACCAGCTCTGAGCCTCGGCTTCCCCATCTGGGAAATGGGCATCATGGCAACCCCCCACATCGGGGCCCGCTGTGAGGACGAAAGGAGGGAGCCCCTGGGAAGCGCGACCATGAGCAAGCCCTGCCTGTGGGCCCTTTATTCGTTTCATCGTTGTACCCTAATTGAAGGTTTGGGGGAGGGAAATTTGACCTCACTCCTGGAAACAGGAAAATCCCAAATGAGTGTGGCAGCCAGGTCCTCCGTCTGTCCCAGAAGTCCCCAAAACCATCTCGCTGGCTTCCTGCCCTCCCCGCTCAGTCCCCGGGCTGTCGCATGGGGACAGCATGTCTCCCCGTGGGTCTCCGCTCAGCCGTCACCTCTCCGTGGAAGCCCTAGGTAATTTCCCCCCTACAACAGCCCAGATCGCCCTTCTTGGTGACATGTCTGTCTCCTCCCACGAAGGCAGGAGCCGAACCCATGGCACTCCCCGCGACCACCCTCTTGCCCAGCCCCAGTGGGTACCTTGATGACCAGGAAGATGTCGGGGGATGGGTAGGTCACAGAGAAGATGGCGGAGCGGGCCAGGGTAGAGATGGCGGGGTGGGTGCCGTGGGCCCGAAGCAGCCCCTTCATGGAGTCCGAGTTCAAGTCGAAGTAGAAGTTCTCCGAGATCTGGGGACGCCAGAGCCAGCTGGGCCGCCACCTCCAGGAAGCCCACAGCCCCCCAGAGAGGAGGAAGAGGATGGGGGAAGAAAGAGAACAAAGGGGGTCCTACCTTCTTTTTCTCCCGCACGTCGTACAGGGCCAAGATCCCAAAGATGGGTTCGATTTCAATCTCGAACCTGCCCATAAATGGGGGGGAGGTCTCAATGACGCCCCTGCCGTCCACGCATGCCACTCCCTCTTGAGGCCCAAGATGGGGGCGACACATGTGACTCCCACTGGGCCACCAGGACCCACCACTTAAGGGCTTGCATAAAAGGTGCCTCCCATTTTGCAAAAGGGGAAACCGAGGCACAGAGTAACACACACACACGCACACAGAGGCCCTCCTCCCTGCATCCACGGCACCTGTTCAGCCGGCGTGGAAGCAGCTTTTGGCACAACAATCTTGAGATTCTCAACTCCTGGGCCTCCCTGCGCCTCCTCTCTGGGGCATCCTCTGCTGCCACTGCCACCCTGGGCTGAGTCCCGTCCTCACTCGCCTTAACGGCCACCGTAACGGCCTCCCTGCCTTTGCGCTGCTGGGCCCCGAGCGCCACGTGCCCGCTGAGGAAGCCTCTTCACACCCCACAGTTGAGCCCGGGCTTGCACCGCCCTGAAGACATGGCCCAGCCTGCCCAGCCCTGGCCTCAGCTCTGTCCCTCTCCGGAAGGCCTGGGCGCCCACTCTTGTGTCGCCGCCCCTGCATGTGCTGTGCCTCCCACCCCCGCCACCAGCCTGGTCTTCTCTGTCCAGCCAGCTTCCCCTCACCGCTGGGTCTTAGCCTCCCATCTGCCCCCCAGGGAAGCTGCCCGGAGCCCCACTGCCACCCCGCAAGCTGGGTCCGGGGCCTTCTGCAGGCCCCTAAGCGCCCTGAGCATCTCTCGTCCCAGCTCTGTGTGGTCACAGCACAGACGCGCGACCCGTGCCCTGCAGCCACTCCGTGAGTGTTTGTTGAATGACTGGATGAGCACACAGAGCCGGTTCCCAATCCTTGCGCTCAGAACCGGAGGCCCACCCGGGCCTCAGGCCAGATGGAGCCTCCCTTTCCTGCCCCCGATCCAGGCAGGAACTGGGGGGTGGGGAGGAGGGGCAGGGCCAGGCCTGGGTCCAAGTCCACATCCTGTTCCCACGCACTTCTGGCTGCTCCCGGGGGGGCTGACGGGGAGGGGGCCTTGGGCGGCTGGGAGCCAGGCCCCGAGTCCCTAGCACTGCCACCCCCAGTCTCGGCTCCCAGCAGCAGGGCGGACGAATGCCAGACTCTGGCCTCTCGAGTCGTGTCATCTTGGCACAATGGTGTCACCACTCCGTGCCTCAGTTTCCCCAGCTGTGCCCACATCACAAGGCTGGGTTAATATACATGAAGGGCCGAGAACGGAGCCCGGCACACAATTGGCGCTTAAGCATTGGCGGCTTAGAATAATGAAAGGGAAGTTTTATTTCCCCCCACAAAAGCCTCCTAGGTGGCGGGGCTGCACGGTGATGGCGTCGCTCACGTGGTGAGTGCCGCGTGGAACGCGCGTGCCCCCCCCCCGCCCGTCCCGTGCAGTTCGCTACACTCACTTAAGCGACAGGCACTTGACCAGGATCCTCTGTCCAAAGTGCTCGCGGGGCGGCTCCGGGCGGCTGCAGCGTTCCATGGCCTCATCCTGCCAAAAGTCGGGGTGGGGGCGCAGCTGGGACCCGCCCTCCAGGGAGAGCCTGGAATGCCCTTCTCCCCTCCTCCTCCTCCTCCTCGCCTGGCCTACGTCTGTCCAGGTCACAGTTTAGCCGACACTTCCTCCAGGAAGCCCTCCCTGACCCCTGAGGCCTGGGCAGGCACCTCTTCCAGGTGCTCACGATGCAATGGGCCATGTGGCCGGGACAGGGAGGACCGAGGGAGGGACAGTTGCCAGCATCTCAGCGTGGCACCGCTCTGTCTGGGTTATAATTTCCTAGTAGAGGGGTCTATGTCAGGGACTGGCTCTATTTTATTCATGGCTGTACCCAAACATATTAGGCAAATAAATATCGAGTTATACAACAGGTACTTACTAAAAACTGGCTGAATAAACACAGGTACATACAGAAAATATTTAATCAATGCTAATTGGATATAGAGAGAGCAATATACACTAGGCAGTCAATAAATACTGATTGAATAAATATGTATATATAGTAACTACTCAATAAATGATTAAACAAAAGCAAAGGACCATATAATAGGCGCCAAATAAATGTTGGTTGGCTAAATATAAGCATATATGGTAGGTGCTCAACAAGTAGTGCCTGGTTAAATAGAGAACTACACAGTAAGCACACAGGAAGTATTGGTTGAATAAATATAGGAATACATAGTTGGTGCCCAATAAATGCTGGTCAGATAGATATAGGAGTATATACTAGGTGTTCATAAAAAAAAAAGCTACTGAATAAACATAGGGTATACCATAGGTGCCCAATAAATGCTGGTTAGATAAATATAGGTGTATATAGTAGGTGTCTATACACGAAAGCTATTGAATAGACGTAAGGTATACAGTAGGCACCCCATAAATGCTGGTTGGCCGACATGTAGAGATACACGTCCGTTGGACTGCTGGGGCCCCAGGCACCCACCTCATCAGGCGCCGGGTAGAGGGTGAGCAGGGCCTGGGGCCGGTGTTGTCGCCGCAGGGCTTCGTTGCGCCGGTCCACATCCTCGGGCGCGGCCCGCTCCAGCAGCGCGGGCAGCAGGGAGTCGGCTGCCAGGTTCCTCAGGTCGAAGATGCCAGAGGCGCCGCTGCTTCGAGGGGTGTCGTCCGGGGAGCCCGAGCAGCGCTGAGAGTCATCCTGCGGGCGCGGAATGCACAAGCGCTGAGCGCCAGGTGGATGCGCCCTAGCCTCACTCCGACGTGAGGAAGCTGAGGGCCAGGGGGTGTGGTCACCACTACAAGGGTCACCTGAGGGCTTTTCTGACCCACTTTCTAGAAACTTCTGTCTGGGGAGCCCCTCCCACTTTTACCACTGTTTACTGATTGCATAAGAGTATACAGTAAACACTCAATAAATAGTTAAATAAAAACAGAAGAGCATATGATAGGTACCCAATAAATGTTGGCAGGCTACTCCTATCTCACATTCTGGGCTTCACATGACCCTTGTCTAGCCAATCAGAACACATCTGCCAGTCCCAGAATTGGCTGGGATTGGCTCCAAGGTCTGGGCCAATGAGAGCCTTCCCTGAGACTTTGCTCACTGTTGCCAGGGGAGGGGAAGGTTCTTCCCTTAGACTCAGATGCCGTCAGAGCAAGATTGCCCTGGTTCAAATCTCATCTGACCTCTGCAACCCTGGCTCTCTGACCCCCACTCTAAGGGCCTCAGTTTCCCCATTTACACCAAAAAATAACGAAGGAACAATGCAATGGTTCTTAGAATAATTATTGTTGGCATAAAGTAAGTTAAATGTTGATGGACAAAATAGGTTGAACGTAGAGGCTCAAGGCCTCTAATAGTCTGCCATGCCTCAGTTTCTTGACCTGCAGAATGGGTACAACAGTTGCCCTGATTCGTAGCATGAAAGGAGAGAACAAGTAGAAAGTATTTAGTACACACTAAGCACTGGATAAGTGTGTATAATTACTGCCCAAAACTTTTCACTCACGGGGCCAATAAAATTCCTTTTGGGCTCCAGGCTGTTTGGGGTCATTTCCTGTCACGTGTGCCCGAAAGCTGGGGCTGGAGCCTGCACACACAGCCCTGCCGTGACCCGGGCCAGGGGTTCCCTCACCGAGTCCTCGGGGCCGGACTTCTCCTCCCCAGACACGTCCTGCTCAAAGACCTGGCGGGGGAGGCCCTTCTGCCGCTCCCGCTGCGTCTCCGTGGTGACAGGGCTGTACGCGACACTCAGGTGCTGGTACCTGCAGGAGGCGTGGCCAGGCAGGTGGGGGGCTGAGGGCTGCCCAGTGCACCCCAACACACCCACCAAGGCCCACGCCCTCCTTGCGCTCTGCCAGAGAAGGGCGGCCGGCCTTGCAGGGGAGTGGGCAGATCAACAGTAGGACCGGCCACGGACGGCAGCTCAGCTCTGCCGGGCTCAGACACCCCCCCCAGCCGCCCGCGAGTCGGACCCACCTTCTGTGGACGATGACCCAGTCCTCTGTGTACATCTCCACCGCAGCCCTCACCTGGGCATCCAGCTTCCTGTAGCAAAATAAAACCCGGGTAAACAGAGGCAGGGCGTCTGTGCGTCATTCCAACGGCCTGCAAGGCGGGGGCTGCCCTGCCTCCTTCAGAGACGGGGGCTGGAGGCCCAGAGAGGAGGGATGACTTGGCCAAGGCCACACGGCCATGCCAGGAGTTGAACTCGGGCCCGCTGGGTTCTGGAGTCTGCCCGGAAAGGGGGTGTGGAGGGCGGGTGGAGTCTTGGGGGGGTCGGGGTGGGGGGGCTGGACCCACCCATCCTCGGGGATCCCGGGCTCGGTGGTCCGGCATTCCCGGGGCTGCAGCAGCAGCTCCAAGTCGTCGGCTGGAAACTCCACCAGGTCCCTGAGGGGCCCGGGCTCGGCGTCCGGTGGCCGGCTCAGCAACACGTCCTCGAAGTCCAGGGGCTCGATGACCTCGGTCAGCGGGACCTGGGTTGGAGCAAGGTGGCTGTGATGTGAAGTGAGAATGCGGGGGACAGGAGGACGGTGGGAGCCATGGAGGGTGCTGGAGCTGTGGAGGTCCCCGACCTCCGACTCCCCACCCCCACCTCCCTCCAGCAGCTCCAGGAAGGAAATCACACCCTGGAGCCTGGACCGGCAGGAGGCCCAGGCAGAGACAATTCCTAAGGCCCTGAGACAAGAGGGCTCCACCCCTCTCCCGCTGCAGGCGGAAGTCACTCACCCCCCCAGTGCCACCTCCCCAGCCCCCTCTGGGTGGTCCGGGCAGCAGGGGGTGGGGTGACGGCAGGCAGGAGCCACGCCCTCCTGGCCACACGCTGGGCTACCCCCAAGCAGCCTCAGGGAGGGTGGCCACAGGAGCAGAGCAGGGACAGCGCTGGGGCCAGGACAGGGCCACCGTCCCCTGTCACTGCTCATCCGCCTCCGCTCCCCAGGGACAGGGCAGGGCCGGGCGGCGCCCCGCAAACACTCACCCCCAGGGAGCTGCGCCGGCCGGAATGCGGGGAGCCGCTGCGCTCCCGCGACACCTGCTTCCGCACCTCCGCGGCCACCGTCCTGGAAGGACAGAAGGGGACTGTTGGGGGCAGGAAAACCCAGGCGGCGGGGCCCCAGGGCGCACGGCTCAACAGGCCCCAAAGCTGGGCCCGGGCCTTCTAACCGCTTCCCGCCAAGCACAGATGGGGGTGCTGCCAGCAGAGGGGGCTTGAGGGGCACAGAGACCCCTCTCCCCCTCCTGGCTGGGCCTACTCCCTTATGGGGGAACCTCTGCCCAGCTGGGGTTCCCCAAACACACCTGGCCCTGCCCTCGACCCATCCAGAATGTGTGTCCCTTTCTGTTCTTGCTACGGGCCTTGGACAAGCCATTCCCACATCCGAGCCTCAGTTTACCCATTTGTAGCTATCCTAACCTCACAGGGCAAAGGCCCTGAGGCCTGGCTCTGTGCTCTGAGCTCCGAGACCCCTCCTCCCCCGCGTCTCTGAAGGCATGGGCTAGGACCGTGTGGTCCCCAGGGAGGGCCCTGTACATACTAGGTGCTCAATAAATGGCTTTTTTTTTTTTGAGACAGGGTCTCGCTCTGTCCAGGCTAGAGTGTCGTGGCATCAGCCTAGCTCACAGCAACCTCCAACTCCTGGGCTCAAGCGATCCTCCTGCCTCAGCCTCCCGAGTAGCTGGGACTACAGGTGCACCCCAAAACCCCCTGCCAATTCTTTCTATTTTTAGTAGAGACGGGGTGTCGCTCTTGCTCAAGCTGGTCTCGAACTCCTGGTTTCAAGCGATCCTCCTTCCTCTGGCTTCCCAGAGTTCTAGGATTACAGGCGTGAGCCACCACACCCTGACTTTTTAAAAAAAATTTTTTTAAATAGAAAAAGTGAATCCTTCCCTGTCTCCCTCCTGGTCCAACTTGCCCCAATCCGCCGTGTTAGGGGAAGCCCTAGATCTTTGAGCTGTGTGGCTTCGGGCAGGTAAGACACCCTCTCTGGGCCTCAGTCGCTGTTAAAATTAACAAGCTGACAGCCCAATGTTCCGGCCTCCCTCCCTTCCCATTTTCTGTGTGCTTGGAAATTTCAGAATAAAAAGATATGCACCAAACAGCATGGCGCCGACCAGCGCGAACCCGACGGCCCACGAAGACTCTTAAGGACAGGGGTGGCGGCCACTGAGGCACTTGGGGCTCCCCCGGACTGAGCCTCTGAATTCAGATCCATGCGGGTCCAACAAAACCTGATCACGACTTTGATCCGGCAATGGGGCCTCCGGTTCGAGAGCCCAGCCTCACTCCTCCTCTGCCGCCTGCCTTCCTGCTATGGCCCAACTGCAGTCCGGCTGGCGGAGGGGAGGGGCCTGCAGGCTGTTAAAATTAAGCTCTGTCCTCAAATTCCCAAAGTCCGGGCTGCCTCGTACAGAGGGACCCTGGCACACACGGCCGGGGAGTGATTACAAAGACGCTGAGACGGGGACAGGGACGAAGCAGTGCCCTGGTCCCAGCTGTTCTGCAGCTGCCGTCCCCGAGGAGGGAGGAGGAGGAGGGAGGGCCGGCCTCCCCTCTTCATTCTCCCCCTTGGCCTTGGAGAGGCCCCCGCAGTCGGGAAGACCTGCCGGGGTCCACAGCGCCATGGCCATGGAGCCAGAGACAGCCCTCCCCTGGCCTCGGGCTCAGGGTCGCGTCCACCTTACTGAGCCACGTGTAGAGCATGGCACGTAGTAGGTGCTAATTAAGCTCGCTGTCACCGTGTTGCCCTCAAAAGACAATCCCGGGCAGCTGGGCTTTCTGGCCCTGCTTTTTTTTTTGTGTTTGAGAAAGGGTCTCGCTCTGTCGCCCCGGCTGGAGTGCAAGTGCGACATCGTAGCTCCCTGCAGCCTCGAACTCCTGGCTCAGGCGATCCTCCTGCCTCAGCCTCCCGAGTAGCTGGGACACTACAGGTGTGCGCCGACCACCACGCCGGCTAATTTTTCATTTTTGTGTAGAGATGGGATCTCACTACATTGCCAAGGCCTGGTTTGAACTCCTGCTTCAAGTGATCCTCCCAAAGGGCTGGGAGTACAGGCGTCAAGTCACCGTGTTTTACACCACAGGCTCGGCAAAAGCCCTGACCGCCCAGGGCCACACTGGGCAGGGCCCGGACTCGACCCCTGGTCGGCCGGGGTCCGAGTCTGTGCTTTTCAGAGCCGGACATTCCATATCGCCCACAAAGGGACAGCAGGGCCAGGAACAGGGGCTTGGGACAGACCTCATCTCTGTCCAGCCCCCAACCCCCACCGCAAGACCAACCGCTCCCGGATTAAACGCCGCCCACTCACTAAGGGCACCCCCACGCTCTCGGGCACTCCGGATTCTCTCCGACTTCCTTTTCTCACCCCACGTCCCATCCGCTTCAGACGCCCCGAGTGGAGCACGTTCCAAAAACGGAGGCAGAATACTGAGCCGAATTCGTGGTCTTTTCACCCAAAGGTGAGGTCACCATTGCGGTGGAGAAACTGTAAATGGCCAGGCGGGTGCTGTAGCTTACTGTTGGGATAAATCCTCCGGAGAAGAAGAGGTGACCACGACCGCGGGTGACACTACAGAGCCTCCAAGCTCAGAGGGAAAGATGAAGTGGTAGCATTACCAGGGATTCAGCCTCGACTGTGCATCTCACCCCAGGCTGGTCAAATCAACTGAGGTCTATCACAAGGGAAGGAGGATGCTGATGCCGACACACTAAACGACAGAGGCCTCGGGCACTGGGTGTCCCACTTGTGCAAAAAGCAAGGAAGAAACGAATCCGATAAATCTATAAAACCGCACTGCAAAAAAAAATTTTTTTTTTGGAGACAGAGTCTCACTGCGTTGCCCAGCTAGACTGCCGTGGCGTCAGCCTAGCTCACAGCAACCTCAGACTCCTGGGCTCAAGCGATCCTCCTGCCTCAGCCTCCCGAGTAGCTGGACTACAGGCAGTGCCAACATGCCGGCTAATTTTTTCTATTTTTGTAGAGATGGATTTTGCTCTTGTCCGGGCTGGTCTCGAACCTGACCTCAAGGGATCCTCCCACCTGGCCTCCCCAAAGTGATGGGACACAGTGTGAGCCTCCGCACCCAGCTGTATATTACTCTTTAATAAACTCTATTTTCTGTACGAATGTCATAGGTCAAAGTTTTTAAAAAGGTAAAAAATAATAACATATGTGTGTGCTTGCTTTGCAGATATACTCAAGGACAAGTGACAGAGAAGTTCCCCCCAATGGTGGCAGTACTCTGGGGACTTGGAGGCTGGGAATGAAGATACCACCGTGACAGACTCCCAGATGAATCTGAATAAACATGCTGGGGACATGTGGAGGGCAGGAAAGGGAAAGTTTCAGAATTGCTCCGGGCTCACTTCCCCCCTGGACACCTTCAGAGTGACTCGGCTACTTCGAGCCTCCGTTTCATATCAGAACGAAGTCAATGGCTTGTGGTGACAAATAAGTGACATCCCAGATGGGGGACCAGCACCAAATAATATAAATAAATGCTGGTCGTCATACTGGTTATATCTGTGTTTGAGTTAAAATGTACGAGCTGGCCGGCGCCGCGGCTCCCGCCTGTGATCCCACATTTGAGTTGAGGCAGGAGCATCATCATGAGGCCAGGAGTTCAAGACTCGCCTCGGCAACAGGGCGAGACCGCGTCTACAAAAACTAAGAGGTTTAGCCCGGCATGGTGGTTGTGCACCTGTACCCCAGCTACTCGGGAGGCTGAGATGGGAGGATCGCTTGAGCCCAGGATTAGAGACCAGCCTGGGCAAACAGAGCGAGACCCACTTCAAAAGAACAAAAAAGAAAAGAAAGATTAGACTATACAACAGTTGTCCATGCTATCTATCTTCGTTAAATTTCATATTTTTAATTGCCCCTCGAAAGCTCTTTTTAAAAAAATCTATTCGGCGTGGCGCGGTGGCTCACGCCTGTAATCTACTATAACTGTGGAGGCCTGAGCGGGCGATGCTCTAGGTCAGGAGTTCGAAACCAGCCTGAGCAAGAGTGAGACCCCGTCTCTACGTATAAATGAAAAGGAACTTACTTGGCCAATAATATATATAGACATAAAATGAGCCGATGCTTGAGCCCAGGAGTTTGAGGTTGCTGTGAGGCTAGGCTGACGCACGGCACTCACTCTAGCCTGGGCAAAGCAAGATACTGTCCCCCCCAAAAATCTATTCATTAGGAATCTGCGGACCTACGTAAATTTGTTTTAATCCGATGTTTAAGGAATGAACTGTTCAATGAATGAATAAATGACACAGGACCTGAGCACGGGACAGGCCTGGGTGCCCACCATGCTGCTCTGAAACCTGGCCACTTGGTGACAGTTCACTGGGCGCCAGGGTTTTCTCCTGCTCTTTCTTTTTTTTGAGACATTGCCCTGGGTAGACTGCAGTTGTCATCACAGCTCACCGCAGCATCAACTCCTAGGTTCAGCGATCCTCCGCCTCGGCCTCAAGCAGCTGAGACTACGGGCACGCTACCAACGCCCAGCTGAGTTTTCATTTTAGTAGAGACGGGGTCTCACTCTTGCTCAGGCTGGTCTCGAATCCTGAACTCAAGCTCCTCCCGCCTCGGCTCCCAGAGTGCTGGGATACAGGCGTGAAGCCACGCGCCCGGCCGGCTCTTTCTGCTCTTACCTTGAACTCTGCAACATCTGGGTCCCAGGGTGGGACCAAGACCCCTCTTTCTCACTGAGTAGAAGCCACACCATGGTACCAGGGACGCAAAAATATCCAACCTCAGAGAACCAAAAGTCCAAGACAGAGAGACGATTCAAAGACAGAGACAACGGAAGAACATAAAATTCCCGCCCTAGAGCCCAGTCAACCCTCCTCCGACTCAGAAGACTCTCATGGCTCACTCACTGGGGCAAAGTAAAAGTCCTCCCCAGGGCCCTCAATGCCTGAACAGTCTCCCCACTATCTTCCTCTCTCTGCACTGGCCACAGGGCCTTTGCACTTGCTCGCTTGGGGCGTGTTTGGACCATTTTTGCCCCACGGCTGGGCCCGATTCCCCCCGGGCTCTCCGGGTCTTTGTCAAAGGCAGGCTGAACATTCAGGCCTGTTGTGGACCACGTCCCGTATGCTGAAACAGCCCCACGCTCGCCCATCCTGCTCCCTGTCTGTTGTCGCCAGAGCACTTATGAGGCACAGATAAATCTTACTTTATCACTCTTCTCTCCGCGCTTTGTCCACCTCCAAGAGTGGATCCTTTGTCTGCTGGACCAGGGCTGACCACCCAAGGTGGCTCTTTCACCTCGGAGAGCACGTGGTCTAGGACAGGTGGCCCTGACTGGTCCAAAGACCCCC